TTACCCAACATGTTGACCGTTTACCCAACATGTGGACCGTTTATCCAACATGTTGACCTTTTACCCAACATGTTGACCGTTTACCCAACATGTGGACCGTTTACCCAACATGTGGACCTTTTACCCAACATGTGGACCGTTTACCCAACATGTGGACCGTTTATCCAACATGTTGACCGTTTATCCAACATGTGGACCGTCTACCCAACATGTGGACCGTCTACCCAACATGTTGACCGTTTACCCAACATGTGGACCGTTTATCCAACATGTTGACCTTTTACCCAACATGTGGACCGTCTACCCAACATGTTGACCGTTTACCCAACATGTGGACCGTTTATCCAACATGTGGACCGTCTACCCAACATGTGGACTGTTTACCCAACATGTGGACCGTTTATCCAACATGTGGACCGTTTATCCAACATGTTGACCTTTTACCCAACATGTGGACCGTTTATCCAACATGTGGACCGTCTACCCAACATGTGGACCGTCTACCCAACATGTTGACCGTTTACCCAACATGTGGACCGTTTACCCAACATGTGGACCGTTTATCCAACATGTGGACCGTTTATCCAACATGTTGACCGTTACCCAACATGTGGACCGTCTACCCAACATGTGGACCGTTTACCCAACATGTGGACCGTTTACCCAACATGTGGACCGTTTACCCAACATGTTGACTGATTTTCTTTGAATTCTGACTTTTTTTCTTTGAATTCTGACTTAATTTCTTTGAATTCTGACTTTTCTTCTTTGAATTCTGACTTTTTTCCCCCGGAATTAAGATTTGTTTCTCATAATTGTGACTTTAATCTTCTTGGAATTCTGACTTTACTCTCCAAACTCTGACTTTTTAGCCAACATTTTGACTGTTTTCTCATAATTCTGACTTTAATCTAAGAACTTATATGGAGACCGCCGTTTGTCTCTTGTGTTCAGTCAAATACAACTTATTTTTAAAGGTAAATTCTTGTAATTTCGACAACTTTGCCCTCATCATCTCTCTGATCTACTCCAAGGACCCCATAAACCCCCGAAGACGAGCTCAAACACAATTTCATCTCGCCTCCAGCGTGGCGTAGTTTCTCTCCCTCTCTGACAGATGTGGCTGAGGTAAGAAGAGCCTCTTCTGCTGTCAGGGTGAATATTAATCTCTAGATCTGTTTCTCTTTCTGTACAGATAGAAAACCTCCTGACACACACACACACACACACACACACACACACACACACACACACACACACACACACACACACACACACACACACACACACACACACACACACACACACACACACACACACACACACACACACACACACACACACACACACACACACACACACACACACAGAGAGAGAATGCCATGGCAGTCGTGTCTAGCTGTTGCTCATTCAACATGACAGAGCACAGATGGCAGAGCGGGGGAGAAACGGGGGGAAGAAGCAGAGACGGAGGAGGATTGAGTTATGGACTTGGTGTCAGAGTAGATTTTGGTTACAGGGCTCAGAAAGCTCCGGGCTGAGAGCATCAGGATGAAGAACGACACTCTCCTCCTCCTCTTCCCTGTCTCGCTCTCTAATTCATCTCAGAGTTTCTGCCTGCTTCTGAATTTCTTTTTTTCCTAAAGTACTCTGAATGCATCGGTCACCTCGCAGAGCCAGATGTCATCCTGACGTTTCTACCAGTGAGAGTCGCTAAAAAATATCTTTACAACATCCTGCGCTGAAACACACACTCTACATATTCTATCTACATGTATATAGACTTTCTGCACTACTTTGTATTTTGTTATATATGTTGCATTGTTGGGAGATTTTTTATTTTTTTTTTTAATTCTCTTATTGTCATTTCACAGTACAGGTACTATGTAACGAAATTGTTCCTCTGCATTTGACCCATCCTAGTGTTAGGAGCAGTGTGCTGCCGTGGACGGCGCCCGGGGAGCAGTGTAGGGAACGGTGCCTTGCTCAGGGACACCTCGGTAGCACTTGGTCTTGCCGGGACTCGAACTGGTGACCTTCCAGTTGCCAAGCCAAGTCCCTATCGACTTCGCCACCGAATGTCATCTAATCTACTCTGTAGCTTTGTGCACATGACACTAAAACCTTTCAATCTTCAATCTTGATCTCTTGGGTGCACAAAATGCAAAGCGAAGTGATTAATCTGGGTTTTAAACTTCCTGAAGCTACACGAGGTCAGGTGGCAGTGTCCGACACACATTTCCAAAACCCTGGAATGCTAGATGCAGTTTAATTCCTCTTGAAAATGTGGATTTATTAAACAACAAACTCCGGTAGACTTTCCCGGAAAAACGAATTCATGCGAAATCCAAATATCACTATTGTGATCAGGCAATCGTCAAAGATCAGGTGACAAAACAACGCGCTAATAATGTCCAAAATATGTAAGACAATGGGCCAAATGTGACTATAAATAATAAATAATGTGACTAATAATGTGGTCTTCTGCCATCTAACACACAATTGTCTCGTTCATTTAAAGCCTTGCTCATCACAGGTGGAGGCTGACGTCACTCAATCACATAAAAAGTGTTTGTTTTCAAAACACAATTATATAAATATTAAATATAGTATTTCATACATCAACGCAGTAACTCTAATATATCTGTCAGATATTTTTATCCTAAATCAAAAAGCTGTTCCAATGCAATGGGTTGCACGAAAACCGATGATTACCTTCTTCCAAGACTTTGTTTTGCATGAAGGAAAGTTCCCTTCATCTAATTTGCAAATACGTTCCCATTACAGTCCATTGTGTCTCACTTCCATTAATATTCTGTTTGAGAAGGACTCAAAAATGCAACAACTGCAAAGCCAGAAGAGTTAGACTTTGAAACCAAACTAAATATCCCTTCCTAAATCTTCAGTGACAAAATCTTGCAGAACTTTTAAGATTAGGCAAAGCAGATGGATTAGAAAACAATGGCGTCTGAAAGAACTTTATTCAGTACTTTTGCATAAATTAGACGTTTGAACGGCTGAGATCAAATTCAAAAAGCATCAGAAGATGATCTGCAGAGTTTCACGGTTGTTTAGAGAATGACTGACAATAAACAATCAGCAAATAAAGTTTTGTTATCTCGCTTTTGCTCCATTTGTCTCTGACTCTTTCTCTGTCTATTTCCTTTGCTTGTTCAGAAAGACAGTCTTTTTTCTACCATCGAGCTGGAAAATATAATGTCTGAACGTCAATAAGTGTGACAAGAAAAGACCACCAATCGTCCTGATATTAATACTCGTTCTAATACTGCTTATTTGGTACGTTTTGAAGACAGGTTGAGTTGTTCGACAAGGTAATCTTGCAAAGAAACTAAAAGTTAACACGTCGACTTAGTTCCTGAAAACAAAAGCCCTGATCTGGGAACAAAAGTGAAATAATATTTACTCTGAACATCTCAAAAACAAAATATTTCCTTCTCCAAATGTCAAAAAATCTACCCGAGTGGATCAAAGCGCAGAGGACATTGTTCTGTCTTTCCAAATAAGATTTATTTACTTTTGGGTATTTTTAAGAAGGTTCTGTGTACTTCCCTGCTCCTCAGAGGACAATCCCTTTACAGGCCTTTTATCTGTTAACCTTAATTCATCCCATTGAAAGAAGGTGACACAAGTAACATTTGAAAGTCCTAAAGATATTCTTAGTCCTAGAAACCACTGCAGGAACCATTGGAGGAAGGTTTTAGACAAACAACCTAGAAAAAGACAATTAAAAACCCGAAAACAAAATGAGTGAATTTGACATTTTCTGTAGTTTCGTCACAGCTCTTGTCCCCTCTGGTGTTATTCTTCTGCTTCCCTAACCCTACACCAAAGGTAGCGTCTGAATAAATAGTCCTGATGTACTGCCTTGGCTGTGCAATGATAGATTTGCTCAACATGCACATCTATTGGGAGGAAGCGAAGAAAAGGATGCAAGGCTACCGTGTTAATCCTCCAGCTGCACTTATCTGTGGAGGAGGACTCACCCCCAGCCAGAGCCCCATCCCAAAGCCACAGTGTGTGTGTGTGTGTGTGTGTGTGTGTGTGTGTGTGTGTGTGTGTGTGTGTGTGTGTGAATGTAAACAGTGTGCATGAGACTCCATAGGTCTTAGCTTAACTCAGACACAGGATATAAAGCTCTGTATGTGCAGCTGACTCGGAGAAACTTCATGCAACAACTCTTCGAGTCTGCAGCTAGAATCCACTTCAAGACACTCGTAAAGATGGACTTTTATTAATCCCTCGTGGGGAAATTGTTTCTGGTATTATTCTGGTTATAGACTTGTATTCAAAATGACTAACAGTAAGTGCAATAAACCATGAAGATACAACCTCAGAACAACAAGGAAAATACAGATATATTGGCTTCAAATGAGCCAAACCAATGTAAGAGCTTAAAATGGGCTAAACCAATATCAGGACTGCAGGAAGTCCACACATCTTCTGTTTCGACTGCATTTTGTCCAATAATGAAAACTATTCTCACTGCCTTACGTAACACTTAGAAATGTTTGGTTGATTTGAAGCCATTGCAGCAGCACTTACAATGGTTAGGCTTAATACAAGGTAATGTACCTGCTGTATTCCGGTTGCTTTAGCGTTTGTATCCTCATGGTTGAAGTAAGTCTCTTTGGATCAAATCATCAGTGAAGAATATAATGCTGGTGTAACAGATGATGAGAACACTGAAATATATCAGTTCATCTCAAATATTCAGACATATTCAGCCCGTTCTGCTCAACAAAAGACGATCCTTATTTCAAAACAAACACAAACAGACACAGACACAGAGGGCTGTATTATCCCTGTGTCCAAATGTCTTACAGGCTGAGTGATGGATGAGCTTTCCAGACAGAAAGGACTGGAAACAGAGATCATTTGTCCACCACTTCCTCCTGTCTGTTCCCCCGAGTGTCAGTCTGTGAGGAGGGGATTGTAAACCAGACTGAAACAATATTTTTTCTGGTAAAAGGATGACTCACCTCGCCAGGTTGAAGGCATCATCAATAAGTCCTGCCCTGTTTCCAACGGAGATGATCTGAGAAAGAGACAGAGAAGAGAGTGACACACAAAGAGAGGCTGTCATGAAGTCAAACTGAGAAATAACACACAAAGAGAGAAGCAATACGGTCATCTTTAAATCAATATTGTGAGTCAAGCTGTTGGTTTCTTTGATATGTAGCCGTGAAATAAGCGGGACAATGTGGGTCATTAATGAAAACCAGAGGGGGGAAGTAGTGGAGTACAAATACTTTGTTACTGTACTTAAATACATGTTTCTGGTATCAGTACTTTACTCCACTACTTATTTTACTGACAACTTTTTACTTTGACTTCTTACATTTTGAACCCAAATACCTGTACTTTCTACTTCTTACATGTTGAACCCAAATACCTGTACTTTCTACTTCTTACATGTTGAACCCAAATACCTGTACTTTCTACTTCTTACATGTTGAACACAAATACCTGTACTTTCTACTTCTTACATGTTGAACACAAATACCTGTACTTTCTACTTCTTACATGTTGAACACAAATACCTGTACTTTCTACTTCTTACACTTTGAACCCAAATACCTGTACTTTCTACTTCTTACATGTTGAACACAAATACCTGTACTTTCTACTTCTTACATGTTGAACACAAATACCTGTACTTTCTACTTCTTACATTTTGAACACAAATACCTGTACTTTCTACTTCTTACATGTTGAACACAAATACCTGTACTTTCTACTTCTTACACTTTGAACTCAAATACCTGTACTTTCTACTTCTTACATGTTGAACACAAATACCTGTACTTTCTACTTCTTACATGTTGAACACAAATACCTGTACTTTCTACTTCTTACATGTTGAACACAAATACCTGTACTTTCTACTTCTCACATGTTGAACACAAATACCTGTACTTTCTACTTCTTACATGTTGAACACAAATACCTGTACTTTCTACTTCTTACATGTTGAACACAAATACCTGTACTTTCTACTTCTTACATGTTGAACACAAATACCTGTACTTTCTACTTCTTACATGTTGAACACAAATACCTGTACTTTCTACTTCTTACATGTTGAACACAAATACCTGTACTTTCTACTTCTCACATGTTGAACACAAATACCTGTACTTTCTACTTCTTACATGTTGAACACAAATACCTGTACTTTCTACTTCTTACATGTTGAACACAAATACCTGTACTTTCTACTTCTTACATGTTGAACCCAAATACCTGTACTTTCTACTTCTCACATGTTGAACCCAAATACCTGTACTTTCTACTTCTTACATGTTTAACCCAAATACCTGTACTTTCTACTTCTTACATGTTGAACCCAAATACCTGTACTTTCTACTTCTCACATTTCCCAAACAGCTGGTTCCTTTAGTTTGAATGTGTGTTTGGTGGCGTGATCATTATTATTTAGAGTCATTGCGTGCGTATTGATTTGAACACGATCCGTGTATCCATCATTTCCTGGTCTTCTCTAAAGAAGAGGGACCAATGAAAACGTTGTCATGTTGCCGTTGTTCAGCATGGAAACATTCATTAGCTAACAATGACATTATTGTTCTATTAATATAAAGGGAGGTCAGGTACTCTTTAAAACAGCTGCTAGTTATGGGTACTTTTACTGAAGTACATTTCAAAGCCTCTTTACTTTGACTTGAGTAAAGAAGTTTAGTCAGTACTTCTACTTTGACCAGAGTATTTTTAAACACGAGTATCTGTACTTCTACTTGAGTAAAGGGTGTGTGTACTTTTGCCATCTCTGATGAAAATACAACACCTTCATTATCCCCTATATCCCTTACGGTTAGAATCCAGTTATAATGGGATCTGATGTTAAACATATTGCGGTAAAACAAAGACATACTTCAGGGTTGTTGTGTAATTGCTGAATCAGCAGTTTCCAGTTTGCCAGGTCGTAGTTCACGCGGAAGTATCCGGTCTGGTTGATGTTTCCTAGCAACCAGGTGCTGTCGTCCATCTGACCAATCCTGTGGGTTTCTGAGACAACAATACAAACATTACATCAGTAGGAATTAAACAGCAGTGGTTTGACCAAAGATGTAAGACACTAAGGTTAAACGTTGTTGACACCCTGTTTGCAGACGAAACCACGCTGTTGGATAGAGGTCATTGCAGTAACACATTAATGTTGTTATGTTTCGCATATTCTTTTGTCACCAGAAGTTGAGATAACAAGTCGAGACTGTAGTCTTATCACTGGGTTCCCTCGTTATAGCTTTTAAGTTAGTATTTGTCTTGGCTCTGAATAATTTGGACAATCCTCAAAGAAAAGTCAATCTTTTATGAGTGTTTTGAAACTATTTTTCTTTTGCATAACTTAGACGTTTGAACGGCTGAACAGTGGAGAGAGAATTCAAAAAGCATCAGAAGTTGATCTGCAGAGTTTCACGGTTATTTAGAGAATTACTGACAATAAACAATCAGCAAATAAAGTTTTGTTATCTTGCTTTTGCTCCATTAGTCTCTGACTCTCTAACTTTCTCTGTCTATTTCCTTTGCTTGTTCACACAGACAGTCTTTTGTCTACCAACTAGCTGGCAAATATAACGTCTGAACATTAAGAAATGTTACAAGAAAAGACCACCAATCGTCCTGATATTAATACTCGTTCTAATACCGCTCATTTTGTACGTTTTGAAGACAGGTTGAGTTGTTGACCAAGTCATGACAAAGAAACTAAAAGTTAACATCCCCCTTCCCCCCCCCCCCACTCCCCGGGCGCTGTACAATAGCTGCCCACTGCTCCTAGTTCTAGACTCCTGGTGCTAGGATGGGTTAAATGCAGGGAACAAATGTCACTGTGTGTGCTGCATGCTCTGCATGTGAGACCATTACAGAGGGGTTCATCCCTCCCAATTCTATTCTATTCTAAATGTCAAATCAGAGACAGAACGATAATTGTATTCACCAAAGAGAAAAGGGTGTATTTTCAAGAGATAAAGAGCTAACACAGAACCAGTGCAGTATAACTGGTTTAATTTCTTAATAACAGAAGCTTTAATCTCCTTAAAGTGGACCTATCATGCTATATTTGAATAATATAGTGTAGGACCATACCTATATAAGGCATATTTATACTTTTTTTTTTTCAAAATACCAAACAGATCATGCATTTTAGCCATGCCTCATTTTGCTCAATTTGACATTTTTTAGCACTGTTTTAGCAAGGGCAGGTTCAGTGAGAACAGCACCACCTAGAGGCCTGGCATATGTACTACAGCTACTACTATGGCCGTGGCTGTCTCCTCCTGATTGGTGGAGTTGGCCCAATAGCCGTAGCGCCACCGTCCTGACGTCAGGACAGTGTTCAAATCTGGATCAGTTTTTATCAGATCCGTTGCAGCCCCTTTTTTAGAGATTTGGGTATGGAGGAAAATAGAGAGGGTTGTGTTTTCTGACACTTGGTGAGTTCCCTGGAACACCGGGGACACATATTCATGTATACAAGACGTACACAAGTGCATTTTGCATGATAGGTCCCCTTTAAATATGACTACAAATGGCCTTACCGGACACCCCCCTTCCCCCCTCATCAGAAGCAGAACAAGCTTTATTTCACAAATACAGAACCACCGTGTGTTTTACCCTCCAATAAACAGAACCACACTTTGCTTTATCCACAAAAAACAAAAGCAGAACGAGGTCTGGTTCGAAATACCAAATCCAAGGAGGGTTTCTTCTCCATAAAACAGAAGCAGAATGTGTCTCGCACTCCACAGGAATACAGAAAGAGTTATATTTCTCCCAACAGACAGAACTTTATGTGCTTTATTCTCCTTTATTCTGCAGAAAACACTGAGCAAAGCTTTTTTCTGGGGAATTTCCCTTTGAGTTCTTACTGTCTAGTCCCTTAACTACAAATTACACATCTCAAGATAATGAGTTTGCTCACGTGGAAGTCTCTATTTCAAAATGAGTGTATGAACCTCCTGCTGAACTGAGAAAGATATTGCAAATGTTTTCTTTTCTGACGTCTAAGTCTTGACTTCTTGTCGAATACATCGAGCCAAAAGGAAAGCCTTGCAAATCATCCATCTCTTTGAAAGAAAGTAGAAAATTAAGCTTCTTTGTTTACATAAAATCGTAACTTTCTGTCACATTGTCTTGCCTTAAAGTCTTAAGGCCCGGACACACCAAGCTGACACCAAAGAACTGACACAGACGGACCCGACTGTTGTGTCGCCTCGCGTCTCCTGCGTCTTGGCCATGTGTCGCACTGGAACACACCGCAAAGACTTCAGCCGACGGCCAAGAAGCACGTACGAACTGCGCATGCGTGAGTGGCAACAACTCTCCTTACCAGCAGGCGGCGGTAGCTAGCTAGCTGAACAGCCAATCAGAGTGATTTATTTTGCCGACAGCCTTTGGCCGACTGCCCACCGATTCGACATGTTGAATCGGTGGGTTTTCGGCTGAAAAGACACGACGGTGCGGGACACACCAATCTGAGTAGGGCGTGTCGACGCTCATCGTCGGCCTGACGCCCATCGGCATCTTCTTATCTCAAGATAATTAAATTGATTACGGTTTTTCAGTTCTTAAGATAAGATATGATAAGACTTTATTTATCTCGGAGGAAATTGTTGTGCCAGAGTTACAGAAATACAATAAACACAGCAGCATAATAGTAAAGCTGTACACTAACAGTGCCGTAACAAGAGCAATTCAATATCAACAGGAAACACAGACGGTGTACATATTACCAGTATTTAGTAGTGCAAACAAAACGTAGTAGCAGATAGTTAATTGCACGTTTATCATAGCACATTGTTAATAATAACAACATTGCACATGTTATATAGCAGCGAGTGTTTTCTAATGATGGTAATGATATTTATATTGCACATACACTACAAAAACTCTAAATCTTGCCCAGTATATGTGTCTAACATCTAGTCAGAATATGTCTCTCCACCTGATATAAGACATAATAACTTCAGAAGTAACACTGCAGTGAGACACTTCAGGTCTTGTTTTTAGACAATGCATCATCTTGTTAAGTCAAATAATCTTATTTTGAGTCGTATCTCAGATGAAACACATTTTTTTACGTATTTATTAGAAAATCACCAACTAACATCAGAACACAGAAAACTTTTGAGCATTCGCGGCTTATTTTGTAACACAACATTTCCTGATTCTGGTATAATATAGTTCACAATGAGTTCTCCCAGCTAATTACAAGATGTGATTGATCTAACCAAGCAAACTTTCACTTGTTCTATTGGCAGATGTTTGAACTTATTTCAACTTGTCTAACTTGTTTTTGGAGCAGCATCTTTTCCAGTGTGGTAGTTCTCAGTTCTCTCCGCAGTGTACTCTACCTGTCTTGTTGTTGATCCAGATGAGGCTCTCTGAACCAACACTGGATGCGTTTCCCACGGCGACCGTCAATGGGATCTGCCACAGCAAACTACACAGAGAAGAAGAAGGATGTCAGTAATGGTCTCTGGAATTGGATTTGGGTTTTATTGCCTCAGTTATCAGATGGAGGGACATTAGAGACGGGGGAGTGGCGGTCAGCGGTGACACTCTAAACATCCGTCAGCTGGAAATGGAGCGCGGGACAGTGACTGTGAGACAGGAGGGGACAGGAAGTGTGAGGGTAATGGGCGCCGCCGTCAGCAAACATCAGTCAAGTGGAAGTAGCTGAGGGTTTATTCTCCTCTTCAGAGAGCGGGAGGTTAAATGTGCCGTCCGGTGGAAACTGGCACTTTCTTCTTATGGAAGTTAATCTGTTTCATCTGATTTAGAGATTAAAAGAGGCACTCAGTTTCTCTCCTGTAGTGTGTTCTATAGGTTTTAGTGCATGTAAATGGTCTGCTAAGGCTAAAATCACAAAGTTCCGGAACACAGTAACATCACTATGTAACACTCCGGTCAGATTGTGTTACTCTTTAAAGTAGAGACACTACATACTGATATACACCTGAACATCAGCAGGAGAGGACTCTTTAAAGTAGAGACACTACATACTGATATACACCTGAACATCAGCAGGAGAGGACTCTTTAAAGTAGAGACACTACATACTGATATACACCTGAACATCAGCAGGAGAGGACTCTTTAAAGTAGAGACACTACATACTGATATACACCTGAACATCAGCAGGAGAGGACTCTTTAAAGTAGAGACACTACATACTGATATACACCTGAACATCAGCAGGAGAGGACTCTTTAAAGTAGAGACACTACATACTGATATACACCTGAACATCAACAGGAGAGGACTCTTTAAAGTAGAGACACTACATACTGATATACACCTGAACATCAGCAGGAGAGGACTCTTTAAAGTAGAGACACTACATACTGATATACACCTGGACATCAGCAGGAGAGGACTCTTTAAAGTAGAGACACTACATACTGATATACACCTGAACATCAGCAGGAGAGAACTCTTTAAAGTAGAGACACTACATACTGATATACACCTGAACATCAGCAGGAGAGGACTCTTTAAAGTAGAGACACTACATACTGATATACACCTGAACATCAGCAGGAGAGGACTCTTTAAAGTAGAGACACTACATACTGATATACACCTGAACATCAGCAGGAGAGGACTCTTTAAAGTAGAGACACTACATACTGATATACACCTGAACATCAGCAGGAGAGGACTCTTTAAAGTAGAGACACTACATACTGATATACACCTGAACATCAGCAGGATAGGACTCTTTAAAGTAGAGACACTACATACTGATATACACCTGAACATCAGCAGGAGAGGACTCTTTAAAGTAGAGACACTACATACTGATATACACCTGAACATCAGCAGGAGAGGACTCTTTAAAGTAGAGACACTACATACTGATATACACCTGAACATCAGCAGGAGAGGACTCTTTAAAGTAGAGACACTACATACTGATATACACCTGAACATCAGCAGGAGAGGACTCTTTAAAGTAGAGACACTACATACTGATATACACCTGAACATCAGCAGGAGAGGACTCTTTAAAGCAGAGACTGGTACTCAAACATTAAATAATCATCGAGAAATGTCTCAAAAAATGCCTTTTTTATGCAGATTAAATCTTCCGAGGGAAACAGAGCGCTTGAGTAGAAAACGGGCAACACTTGCGTCAGTGAAAGAGTTTTCGTGACTGCGTGGGATCTCAAAATTAAACGATCATATGAATCTGCACGGGATTCTCCTTAAATGAGACCTCAGAGTTTCTAACATCATAAGAATTCAACCCTTGACTTCAAAACATTGAATAAAATGGCACTACTTCTACTTTGGAAATAGATATTTACTCTGAGTTACTCCCACGTCCTTCTGGCTATCTCGCCAGATTTAAAAACCCACTTATCTCCTTAGTGTGGACTTCTCTGGGACTCAGAGTTGATGCAATTTGTAAGTAATTGGTATTTAAAAGGTCTTAAGGGGCTTGTATAATTAGGGGACTTCTCAAGGAGCAATTATGTATCCTTCATCTGGTCAGAAAATGTCAAACTTATGGAAAAAAAGCCGTCAAAACAACATCCCGGCAAATCAAGACTAGACTCATCGATCTGTTGGTGAACAAGATAATTAAAGAAGATTGATTGCATTCTTGATATGCATTTAAATAAATACATCCTTATTAATACATTGGATATATAGGCCTACATATAGTACAACAAGTAGAGGCAGAGAGAATATATATATGTGCAAATTCTCTATGTAAACACCATTAAAAATACTGATACATTTGATTGTCTGCACTACTTTGTAAGGCAGTGTGTTTGATTGTAATGGAGTGTTTTCATATTGTGTTTTTAGCTCAGGCAAAGTAAGTGAAGCAATAAAGAGCTTTTACCGTGTAAATAATCGAGTGTGAAGAGAGAGAGTTAGCTCAAGTTCTTTAAGAGCTCATTACGAACAAATGACTTCCTGATGCTAGGCTTTACACACACACACACACACACACACACACACACACACACACACACACACACACACACACACACACACACACACACACACACACACACACACACACACACACACACACACACACACACACACACACACACACACACACACACACACACACACACACACACACACACACACAATCCCCGGGCGCTGTACAATAGCTGCCCACTACTCCTAGTACTAGACTCCTGGTGCTAGGATGGGTTAAAAGCAGAGGACACATGTCACTGTGTGCTCTGCATGTGAGACCATTACAGAGGGGTTCATCCCTCCCATTCTATTCTATCTTCTTGGTAAATAAGTCTAATTGTATCGATTGTATGATTGTATATTGATTGTGACCCTAAACTTGTCAGCAACATGTGTACAGAGATATTAACTCAACTGATAAGTAAGCTCATTTTCTCATAGACCTTTATAGAATCTTTTTGCAGTCGCCCCCTTCTGGACAATAAATATAATGGCCAGCAGGGGGCGACTCCACTGGTGGCAAAAAGTCTGAATTTCTGGATTGTTTTAGTGACAGAGACAAAAAAACAACTTATAAATCAACACATTGTCTTAGGCTTCTTTGCAATCAAACTTTTTTTTGCAGTGCTGGTCATTATTTCTGATTGCCAAAAATGAGTCTTCAGTTATGCATTGATTCCTATCCTGTATAACTCACTTTCAGAAAGAAAATAGACCTAAAATCCTATACGATGCTCCATGTTGTGTTTGAAAAAATCAATCGGTTGTGGACAGCTGTATTGATTTAAAAGAAATCAGACATATATGACAGGGAGAAGTAAATAAATAATACAAAGGGTGTTTTCTCTAGTCTAAAAACATCTACAAGAAGATCTCCTAAATTGGACTTCAGCCCGACCTAAAGTGTCTGGTACCATTGATCAGCCAAAACTACCAAATAAATCTAAAGAAAATATCATATAAAAGTCAGACTTTCCAATAATTACCTAGTTTTTCCAATGATTAAATGTGTTAATGTTCATTTAAGGTGCAGTTTCTTCATTGTACTGCTTTTCTACATACAATTTATTTGAATAACTGTCAACTGGAGGGCGGGGGGAGCCTCGCTGTGGGGAAGCTGTGGACCTCTGTCGCCTCGCAACTTACATGATGCCGTTTAACCACATTTAAATAAAGGGCGGTGCCGGCCGTCAGCGAACCGAGCCCGGTCGTCAACGGCCCGCTGATGACCGGGCTCGGTTCGCTGACAACCGGACGTACTGTGATTCTCCAGAACCCACAGTTGGCCAGTGCGCCCCTGTGTAGCATATTATTTTCGATGACAGATGAGCAGATCGCCACTGGGCTTTCAACTAAAGACACAGCCACGCAAAACTGCGGCATGTACAGCTCCTTATGGGTACTGCAATGTGTGAAGTGCGCTACACCCCTGGTCGTTTCACCATGGAGGAAAGCAGCAGAAAGTTGACTGGAGTTAAAGAGAGCGGGGCCTAGAAGTTATCCTTCTGCGCTGCGTTGCGTGCATGGCTTCCTTCTGCAGGGGGAGACGCGTGGTCTCGTTCAGGATCCGAAAATACAATTTAAATATTTTGCACACTTATTCCTAGTGTGCCACTGGTTACGGTGCCTAGGGTTGCCGACCCCTGTTGTAGACTTTCCAATAATTACAAAGTTTATCCAATGATTAAATGTCTTAATGTTCATTTAAGGTGTAGTTTTTCCATTGTGCTGCTTCTCAACATACAATACATTTTAATGAATTGCATCAAACACTTAAGTAATGCAGTATATAAATAAACTTTACTTCCTAACACTTCTGTAGACTCGTGAATAATTCATCCCTGTATCGTTTGAAGCTCATTAAATCAAACACGCAGCCAATCACACGCCAGTTCACCTGTCAGGTGACAACACTTCTTTCCTCTTTCACCACAGCGTTAGAGACGAGTGGTGATGTGTTTACAAGCCGTTTGATTTATTTTCAGTTTCATTAGCTCGACCTTATCGCTGTCTGTCCTCTGGTTTCTCCTTGTCTTGTTTTCTTTCTGTCAGCTCAGTTCTTTTAAAAAGCATCTCCTGCCTCGCTGCACACTTTCTTTGAAGTTGAGTAAATAAAAGACACACATTTAAAGCGCCTCGCCCCAAAAACCAACAGAGAATTGGAAGAGAAGAAGTGTTTGACAAAGGATAAGCTGTGATGTTTAAAATGTCACCCTAAGACTTTGAGGTATAGCAATGTGACAGAAAGTTACAAAATAACAATTTTATTTAAATAAAGAAGCTTAATTTCCTACTTTCTTTAAAATAAATGGATGACTTGCAGTAAGGCTTTTCTTTTGGCTCGATGTATTCAATGAGAAATCAAGAAAATAATACATATAAGCAGAACATTTAAAATATCTTTCTCAGTTCAGCTATGAGGAGGTTCATAGAGTCGTTTTGAAATAGAGATGTTATTTGTAATCATTGGTCTCACATTACTCTCTGCTCTCTGACCAGAGTCCTCGTGGTTGATCATCCACGACCACAACTCCTTTAAGGCGCCGATACTTAACAAGGCCTTTTCAAAGAGAAGCACAACAGTCTGACCTCCAAGCTAGTATCATGGAAACTCATAAAAAGCAGCTGATTTCAAGAGGTACAAAGATCTCCTTTCTGCTGCCTTTGGTTCAGTGTTCATTTCCTCAACGAAGACTATGACGAAACATTTTCGTCAACGACCTTTTTCACACGACTAAGACGAGACGATGACGAGATAAAAGTAGATTCTTGATAATAAAAACTATGACAAAACGTTGACGAGACGAGACTAAGGTGTTAATGGTGGACTATCGGATATTCAAACTAATCTTTTCCCCCAAGTGTCCGTCTTGTCTGTCAAAATGCATCTTACGTTTCTAACTTGCAATATCATTATTTCCGCTCTCTTCACTCCAGAAGAGCGATCTATCTCTCTGTGTGCGGGGGCGGGGCCTCACTCTCTCTCTGTGGGCGGGGCCTCACTCTCTCTCTGTGGGCGGGGGGCGGGGCCTCACTCTCTCTCTGTGGGCGGGGCCTCACTCTCTCTCTGTGGGCGGGGGGCGGGGCCTCACTCTCTCTCTGTGTGCAGGGCCTCACTCTCTCTCTGTGTGCAGGGGCGGGGCCTCACTCTCTCTCTGTGTGCGGGGGGCGGGGCCTCACTCTCTCTCTGTGTGCAGGGGCGGGGCCTCACTCTCTCTCTGTGTGCAGGGGCGGGGCCTCACTCTCTCTTTGTGCGGGGGGCGGGGCCTCACTCTCTCTGTGTGCAGGGGCGGGGCCTCACTCTCTCTCTGTGTGCAGGGGCGGGGCCTCACTCTCTCTTTGTGCGGGGGGCGGGGCCTCACTCTCTCTCTGTGTGCGGGGGGCGGGGCCTCACTCTCTCTCTGTGTGCGGGGGGCGGGGCCTCACTCTCTCTCTGTGTGCGGGGGGTGGTGCCTCACAGACACACTGCAGCGGCGTGCACACAGATTTTTAAGAGTAGTAGCGCCGTTAAAAACCTTAGCGATACCCCATCCCTAGACAAGCAAAGTGTTAAGAGAGTGAAATGTTGCTTTACGAATTCCAACACTTGATGCTGTCACCTTGATTCAGATTTCAGATTCCTGTATTTGCCTAACTGAACTAGTTTAAAGAGAAAACATTTTGACTAAAAGTTGACTAAAATGTAATGATTTTTTATCGACTAAAAATGGACTAAAACTATGAAGGATAAAAAGGACTAAAATGTGACTAAAACTAATAACCATTTTCGTCTAAAGACTAAATCAAAAATAGCTGCCGAAATGAACAGTGCTTTGGTTGCACCTATGGCACTTAGCTGTCCTTTTTCTATCTTATTTACACTGTAGGAGACAAAATGCTTGTTTTGCCATTGCTTATCCTGACATTTCCCTGTGTGTGATTTTTTATATTTGCTGTTGTAATCTGTTGTCTTCTGTTTGCTATTGTAGTAAACTGTTTTTTATTGCATGTACAGCACTTTGGCTCGACCAAAAATCGTTTTAAAAATGTGCTATATAAATAAAACTTGATTTGATTTGATTTATTATTTCTATTATTATCTTCATTTCAGTTTACACCACCTTTAATTCTTATTGGCTATCACTTCTGGCAATAGTCACGTGGGTTTATGGTATTTAGGTCACCTGTTGGACGCCGGTTTGTGTGTATGATGTAGAGGAGAGGGTGAATTGCTGTGTGGTCCGGAGTTACATATTGTTTTGCGACTTTCTTAAACACTGTGAACTCTAACTGACTACGGACTCTTGTATTGAACGAGTCACAGCGAAGAGTACGTTTTAGCCTCTCAGCGGTTTAGGGAGTTTTTGCCGCTACATACAAGATAAACATACCTGTGAACGAAAAGGCTAACAACAAAAAAACACATTAAGAAAAACCCTCACACTTACAGACCAAGGGGACAGGAAGTGTGAAGGTGTCATTTCAGGGTTTTAGGACTCACTGTAGAATTGAACAGATTCAGAAGTGCAACACAATGTTTGTTTTCTGTCTGAATATCAAGAGTTATGCACTGTGACTTGTACAAACACTGTCTGCTGTTTAAAGGCTTGAGAATCGTTGTTCAATGCTTTTAGAAACACCAGACAGCTTCAAAACAGGCCAACGATTCTTAAAGGCACGAGTTAGAGAGCTGATTGGCATCCTTGGGATTTCTTGCTGTATATTTCATTATATTTCTAAGAATTCTCAGTTTCCCTGCATGTTAAAAAAGCTAAATAAATAAATAAGTCCCCAGCGTGTAACACTGTGGGACGCTGCCTGCTTCTGAACGCAGCTCTGCAGGATCAAACAGTCTGATTCCATCAACTGAGCAGAGAAGCTAAAAGCACAACAACATCACATGTAAACACAATCTTTACAGGCGGCAAGCGAACGCCTCGAGACCACAAAGAGCGCCTGAACGCAGCCTCGTGAGACTTTGCAACGCCAGGAAAGAAAGAATTCAGCTTCACCTACAATAAACAGCGCCAGTCATCAGCCGCAGACACCTCGGGAACTCAACACAAAAGAGTGGGGATGAAAGAGGAGGGGGAACACAAGGCTTTTGGAGAGAAACGGAGGAGGTCAGATTGATTGTAAATGTCAGCTACGGTACAGAAACATGACAGGAAGAGCTACAGAGGGAAGAACAACAGGTACACAAAGAGAGGAGCTGCTGAAGTATTGATGGCGGAGAAAGTGGGTCGATAAAACAGCGAAGAACATAAACTCCAGAGGTTGTGAATAAAACATAATGTGAATGAAATATGAATGATGAAAAGCAGGTGAGGTAAAACTAGAAAAGTGCTATTTCAGGAGAAACTTATCGAGGTGTGAAACAAAGGGGTTTCAGGGCGGTTCTGTCGGAGTGATGGAATGAAGAACAGAAGGACTTTCTAAAGGCCTGGAGAATACAAGCTCCACAAGATAAAGATTTTCAGAGGCTTACGAGATGTAGGGATTATAAATGCAAAGGTTATCTTCAGGGTGGCAGCAGAGCAAAGGTCAGGGTCGAACTTTTAACGGATAGTTTCCCAATTCGACCTTTTGGCGGCCAACTGAAGATGTCCTTCAACCCGAGATATGAAATGAAAAGCATGCATTATGTAATTGAATCATCCGCGGTCCATTTCAAATCCTTTACTTTCAACAGCTGATATTTAATAGATGACACGGCTTGTGCGAGAAACAGCTGACACTTGAAAAAAGTTGGGTTTTAATGAGGCTGTCCAACAACATCCTCTGGGACCCAAAGCATGCTCTCACAGAGAATCTGAACTGCTACCATCTAATGGAGATTCACTAAAGTCAGACTGAAGCATCCTTTGTGCTCCAGTCTGTCCTCTCAGTGAACACAGAGCTGGATCCAGATCAGATGCACACTCTTTGAGCAGCCGGAGAAAATCTGCCACTTCCTTACAGAGCCCCTCCTCCAACACACACGAACGCACACATGACCAATGAGGGCACGAGATAAGTTTGTGCACAGATGGAAGGCTGACAGGTAGGTAGGCCATCCAGTTATTTTAGCCGGGCCGGCTCAGATGATTGGTCGTGCTTTTTACAGTACTACAGCTTCCACAGATGATATTTTTTGTTAATGGATTTTTTGTCAAAGCACTTCAGATATTCATTGCTATCGGGATGTTAAGAGCATTCCATGGAATATAACAAGTGTATCTCGAGCCGGTTTCTCAAACTTACCTACCCCACCTTTAATGCTCGTACAGCTAGCTAACGTTAGAGATTTTGATTGTTTATTAATGGATAAGTGAGATGGAAAAGCCACAAGAAAAAAGGATGTTTGCTTGAGAAGAAAAGTTGGTTTTGGGAAAAATGTGTTATTTTGGACAGATAGAGTGGTCTACCCTTTCTTTTTTAATGATACACACAATTATTCTACACAGATCGTCATTTTTCAACACAGGTTTGAACTTGTAGCCTATAGTCAAAGAAAGTAGCACAAGGACAACATGACCACGAACGAAAGTCGTGCATTTATCTGGGAATTTGCATGGGGAAGAGCAGCGGCAACTAAATCAATATCCAGTTCTCTGAACCGATATTACGGCCAAATACAAATCCTATGAGGTCACGGGAGTAGAGAGTGCATCAGCTACAAAGACAAGTTGATTCAAACTGTTTCATATTCCAGTCTTAAGTCACATTTGACATTATAAAAACACTTATTAAACTCTCACTGACCTGTTGTTGCTCTTGGCTTCCTGAGAGTACAGGAAGTGCTCCTGGTGGACGGTGATGTAATGCGTGGGGAGCTGCTCTGATTGGTTCTTGCTGATGGTCACGATTGGGTATCCCATCTGCAGAGTCCACCTGTCCATCATCTGTCCAATGTCGATCTGCAGACCCTCTGAACGCATGGCCTAGAAGAAAAAAACACATAACGAGGTATGAATAATAAATGAGCACTAACTTACACCAATTAATGAGTGGTACAATTATTTAAAAGGTCATTAACCATCATCAATAACGTGGTAGGAATCGATAAAAAGCCCAAAGTCGCTCCCTTAGAGAACGATGAGTAAATTGGGGCTCTGATTGGCTGGCAGCTCGTTAAAAAGGCTGTCTGATTTCCACTAACGAGGAAGAATCCAATCAAACAGACATTTTTTTCCCGGAAGCTTCCTATATGCAGGACATACGAGGAAAACAACCTCGCCTCCACCTGTCAATCACGTCACCATGGCAACAGGACTTCTTCTCTGTCTCTTTCTCATCAAGCCGGTCTTAACGAGCGTCTCTCCGGCCTTCATTACCGGCGCTGCGTTAAATGATGAATGGCCTCTATGAGTCTGGCTGCTCCATCTAAAGAGCTGAAAGCGGAGGAGCTGCAGGGTTCAAACCCCCTGCTGTGAAGCAAGGCATTAACACAAAGCCTTTGAGCCAAGGGAAGGGTTGATTTTTATAATCTTTGTGTCTTAACGCTTTTGATGTATTCTGTAAAGCACTTTGAATTGCCATGCGCTGAAGAAATAAACGTGCATTTGGGTTAGGGTTTAGGTTACTAACCGTAACCCTGGTTCTTTAACTATAGTTCGTTGGCAATACCTTTGTCATTAATTACGAAGAAGAATCCAATCAAACAGACTGTTTTTTTCAGAGGAAGCTTTAGTTTTTTATTTAAATGTCTTGTATTTCTATACCTGTCTTATCATTTTTCCGCTTAATTGAAGAACACAATTAGTACATTGGAGCTCTGATTGGCTGGCAGCTTGTTGGAAAAGCGGTTTTAGTATTACGGACGAATATGAATCCAATCATACTTTTTTTGTTTTTCCAGAAACATTCTTATTTAAGACCTGTCTATTATATACCTATTGTTTTTTTCTGTAAAGCACTTTGAATTGCCTTGTAGTTGAAATGTGCTTTAGGGTTTAGGTTACTACCCGTAACCCTGAATCTATAACTATATTTTTGCAATAGCTAGTCATCACTAATGAAGAAGACAGAATTGTATACCTGTCTTATCATATGTCTGCTTAATTAGAGAAAACAATTAGTAAATTAGAGCTCTGATTGGCTGGCTATAATATGTACCCGTCTCATCGTATTTCAGCTTGTTCTCATTTGTATTTTCATGGCTTTTAATGGTTGTTATACGTATTCTAATTTAATTATAATAATGTGTTTTTTGCATTTTATTTTAATGCTTTTCTGTAAAGCACTTTGATTTGCCTTGTAGTTGAAATGAGCTGTGAAAATAAACTTGTCTTGGGGTTAGGGGGTAGGTTACTAACCGTAACCCTGGTTCTATAATTATATTTTGATGCAAACTCCTTTGTATTTTGTACAAATTATTGTACAACTATTGAATCGATCGATCTATCACAACATTGGAATTGTGAAGTGCAATTTAATTACACTTATTTTATACATATTTGTATGCGTTTACCTCCCATTCATAAGTAGATTATTTTGAGAGTATGGTGTTATTTCTTTGACAAAGTGTGCGATCCTAATGCTTATTGAAGGGTTTACCTGAGTCAGTTTGCTCCACAGGTCGTCTCGGGCTGCGTTTCCATACATGTGACTCAGCAGGTAATCCTGGAAACAAAATAGACAAACACACAGAGATTAGAGACAGCATGTGACAGGAAATGACAGCTTTTAGTTGCCAGTGACGTTAGTGTTTTGGATTAAAATGTCTGTCGTACCAAACAACATTTTCTCTTTTGCACATGTTACATAAGAAGTGTAAATGTCATGCATATTAAAGAGAGGGATGTGCAAGTGACATGTCTGTTTCCTCAGTGAGTTTGTTGGTTTTAGGAGCTTGACAAACTTTTCAAAGCACGTTTAAAAAGCGTTAAGTGTTGGAAATGATGTGTGTTTAAGTCTCAGTGACACGACATGTCAGGGGTGCAGTGAGACTTATCACAAGAGAAGAAGACGCCTCAAAGAGAGTCTCCGTTCAAAAGACCTGGAAATCCGTAGCGACTTGTGTGTGTGTGTGTGTGTGTGTGTGTGTGTGTGTGTATGTGTGTGTGTGTGTGTGTTTTCATCTATGCGGTGGATTGTGGGTCATAAAAGCTCAGGGATGTGGGATTTATAATAAAACTGGAGAAAAGAAGCCATAGATAATACGAGACACCTGCTGAGAAAAAAGCGCTAATCTCTCTGTGTGTGTGTGTGTGTGTGTGTGTGTGTGTGTGTGTGTGTGTGTGTGTGTCTGTCAGTCAGCGTGTGTGTGGAGGTAGATAAACTAAGAAGCTCTTTATACGATCAAGATGACACATGTGATAACAACTCAGAGTGTGTGTGACTCTCACCTTCACTTAATCTGATAAGAACAGAAATAAAACACCTCACACACACACACACACACACACACACACACTGATCCGACACACACACAGGTTTAGCAGCATGATACACATAAACCGTCTGATAACAGCTGTTCTGTGAGATAGAGATATGTGTGAGCGGTAATAATTTAATTAAAATAAATTGAGATATTAATGGAGGTGAAATGTATTACTGGCTGGTAGTGAGGAAAACTTTTCACACATTTAAGGATCATTTGAATTAATATTGTATATTTATAATATTACATATTTACACATCATTTATTTATGTATTTTATCTACATTTTCACAAATATTTTATTTTGTTTAGCTCAGTTTAAAGAAGTATTACTATAGCCTAATCATTGTTTAAATATTATTAATTATTAATTTTAATTTGGTTAATGTTAATGAGCCTGTTGCAGAAACAAATATTCAGAAAGCTAAATAAAATAAAATGTATTAAGGCAGCAAGTTGTGTGATGTAATACTTAGCACATTGTGGCCTATATGGTCCTGTAAAACACACACACACACACACACACACACACACACACACACACACACACACACACACACACACACACACACACACACACACACACACACACACACACACACACACACACACACACACACACACACACACACACACACACACACACACACACACACACACACACACACACACACACACACACACACACACACACACACACCTGCTCGATCAGCAGTGTTTTATATAGCATCGTGTTCTCTGTGTGTTCCAGTTCACTGCCTGAACAAAAATCAGGACATAGTGTGTGCAAGTGTGTGTGTGTGTGTGTGTGCATGTGTGTGTGTAATGAACACAATCTATATTTAACCCACTTTCACCTTGCATCATATTACATCATTTTTACAATATCCAGCGACTGTATGCCTGTTTTGTGGATTCAAATAATTGAATATAATAATTAAAATAATTTCTGTAAAATAAACTCCTAATTGAATGTTGCTGCTCCTCAGAGATGTTTAGCAGATACACACTAAACGGTAAATAATGCATTCACTGATGTTGTTATATCTGCTCTGTTCTCTAACACTCATTAGGCTCCCAAAGTTCCGGAACACAGTGACATCACTACGGAACACTCGCGCTGCTATTGGCTAGCGCTCCAACACATTGTACACACCTGAACATCAGCAGGAGAGGACTCTTTAAAGTAGAGACACTACATACTGATATACACCTGAAGATCAGCAGGAGAGGACTCTTTAAAGTAGAGACACTACATACTGATATACACCTGAACATCAGCAGGAGAGGACTCTTTAAAGTAGAGACACTACATACTGATATACACCTGAACATCAGCAGGAGAGGACTCTTTAAAGTAGAGACACTACATACTGATATACACCTGAACATCAGCAGGAGAGGACTCTTTAAAGTAGAGACACTACATACTGATATACACCTGAACATCAGCAGGAGAGGACTCTTTAAAGTAGAGACACTACATACTGATATACACCTGAACATCAGCAGGAGAGGACTCTTTAAAGTAGAGACACTACATACTGATATACACCTGAACATCAGCAGGAGAGGACTCTTTAAAGTAGAGACACTACATACTGATAAACACCTGAACATCAGCAGGAGAGGACTCTTTAAAGTAGAGACACTACATACTGATATACACCTGAACATCAGCAGGAGAGGACTCTTTAAAGTAGAGACACTAAATACTGATATACACCTGAACATCAGCAGGAGAGGACTCTTTAAAGTAGAGACACTAAATACTGATATACACCTGAACATCAGCAGGAGAGGACTCTTTAAAGTAGAGACACTACATACTGATATACACCTGAACATCAGCAGGAGAGGACTCTTTAAAGTAGAGACACTACATACTGATATACACCTGAACATCAGCAGGAGAGGACTCTTTAAAGTAGAGACACTACATACTGATATACACCTGAACATCAGCAGGAGAGGACTCTTTAAAGTAGAGACACTACATACTGATATACACCTGAACATCAGCAGGAGAGGACTCTTTAAAGTAGAGACACTACATACTGATATACACCTGAACATCAGCAGGAGAGGACTCTTTAAAGTAGAGACACTACATACTGATATACACCTGAACATCAGCAGGAGAGGACTCTTTAAAGTAGAGACACTAAATACTGATATACACCTGAACTTCAGCAGCTTTTTGAACATTAAAGCATGGAGACATATCACAAATAATAAAAACTTGTCACCTTAAATGACTTGTTGCTTCCTCTCTGAGTCGTGTTTCATCATTTTCAAACCCAGCGCGGCCTTTCAGCAGTTTATTGGACTTTAAAGTTCCCTAAGTAAACCCAAATTGAGATAAAAACTGTATTTCAGAGGAGCTGATGGTACCTCATTAAACTGGAATTGGATTTTCTCATATTCTGCAAACATCACTGAACCTCTGAAAACACTTCCTGCAGCAGGATTTATATTTTATGATTTTATGAAAAGAGGGTTTAGATTAGATGAGAGTAAAGTGGGAAATGAAATCAGGTTTCCATCCGAAAGTGTGAAAAGCAGTAAAGTGCATGTTAATGTGCATATACTGTGTATAGTGATATATATAATTCAAAAGCAAGAGGTGGATATAAATAAAGATTATTATTAACAATAACATTATTAACATACAGTACATATCCTGGATACCTCACGGTCTTTTTCCAATATATTTACACTATCTTCTTTTAAATTTGGATCATTTGGACTCGTTGCAGTGCAGAACAAAGCTTTATTTCTAAATAACATTTAGAAAGCGCAAAAACTAAAATATGATTGTATTAGTATAGAAAATGTAGAAACTGTATTGGGGTCTGATAGAAGTGGTAACTTGTATTTATGATTATAGTATTTTGAAAATACTTGCTACAGTCATAAATACTTTTAAAGCAGTAAAACCTGCCCCTAAAATCCATTTAGTCACTTTAATCTGTATACTCAGGAAGCTCCAAACAGTCAGGGTTTAGCCCAAATATTACACACACACACACACACACACACACACACACACACACACACACACACACACACACACACACACACACACACACACACACACACACACACACACACACACACACACACACACACACACACACACACACACACACACACACACACACACACACACTTTGGCGACTGAACCCCAGTTCTCCCTGTTGTCCTCTGATATCTGAACCTCTGTATGCACAGCTGGAGGATGTTTACTTACATTGAGTCCTCTCTGAAACAGCGTCTGTCCCATCACGTTAGCCAGCATCCGGATCAACGCCGCCCCCTGCAGGGAGCGAAGGAAACACACTTTAAAACACAACAACAAACAAACTCATTGGGGATCGCTGCAGCTGTTGTGTCAGTTTGGAAACATGTCTTGATTTAGGAGTAAACCCTAGCATGGAGAAACACACTTTTAAAACACAAAAAAACTTGCTTTTAATTATTATGTGACACACTGAATGTGATGTTTAGCTGTTAGCCACGAGCTAGCTCAGCCAATTACACACAAATGCCTAAAGGTTTACTGGCTAGCTAGCTTGGAAAACATGTCTTGACTTGGGAGTAAACCCTAACCCTAGCATGGAGAAACACACTTTCATAAACAATATCTCACTAAAATATGCTTTCAATTATTAACGCAACACGACTCAGTTTGTTTGGGATTGTTTTGATGATTTCTCCTGTTGCATGGACTCGCAAAATATCTTGACTCTTGAGGTAACCCTAACCCCAGAACAAGAAAGACACTTACATTATTATGCGACATTCCTCCATTAGGGAATGTTTAAAAACGTGTTTAAACTCTGAATGTGATGTTTTGTTTTACAGTTTTTAGCAGTTACACAAAACTGCCTAAAAGTTTACTTGTTACGTAGCTTGTTAGCTTGCAAGTTAAATAAACTAGCCCTTCAGTTAAATGTATGCCATTAGAAGGTATCTGGAATCTTGATCCCGATTCAAAATTAATTTAATACATTTGGATGACACCTACTTTTTTGTATGCGATCCAGTCAAAGACACGGTCGATGTCCGCCGCCTGCGCCACTTCCTGGGAGATTGGGTGGGAGGAGTTAAGGCCGTCCAATAGCATCACCTCATGGAGGACATCCGTCAGGAAGCGTTGTTTCTCCTGAAAACACACAAACAGGGACTTTGTGTTGACATTCAGTCTCTGGAGGCTAACACTTTACATTTCTAACCTCATTTTAACCATAACAAGGGAGCCAGATGTCGTCCCCTTATGGTTGGTTAGTCCCTGCAATGTTGGTGTGTGAGCTGGTCATTGGTCCCCACAATGCTGGTGATAATATCTCAATGTTTTTGAGTTTTTCTTCCAGTTCAGCCTTACATGAATCCACACAAAGACAGGGGATCTAGTGCAGATGTGTGTCTCCATATAGTAGCTGTTCAAATGCAATTATGGTCATATCCCATCAAATCCCAGGTCAAATATAATATATAAAAAAATCTAAATCTTAGATCTCAGGTACCTTCCAACCACAATAAGTAAATGATGCCAAAAAAAAACAAAGACTATATTTGGAGCAAATTAACGCCCATTAACCTATAAAGTAAAAATATGGGTCTAAAATGTTAGATATTAGTGTTTAAATCCAGAAAATAACAAACAAGAAACAAATGAACAGATTGTTGTCCCCATAATGTATTTTGTTTACAATAAAAACATACCTTTACCCTAAAAAAGGGACCTGGATATCTGTCTCCATATTTTGGAGCTGGTTGAAACAGTATTGGTTTTCACAAAGTGATTGAAAATCTTCACAACATTTTTTGGCCGATGGTGTTTGATTTTCTTCCAGCTCAGATTTTGCCAGACTTTAATTAAATATTTAATTATTTTTGGCAAAACAAAGTTGGTCAACAAACTGTCATTTAGCAGAGCAGTTGGCTCAGTGAACAGAGGTTTAGATGTGTAATTAAACGGGTTAATCCTTATTTATTGTAATTTTGTTTCCCCATTTATTCCCATGATTATTTCCCTAACCGTTTTCCTCATTGTATCCGATCTTTCCCTTACTTTTTCCTTTATATTTCCTGTTCTACTTCCTCTTTACTCCCGTCTCACTGCGTCCGCTTCTTCTCATTACTCCTTTTCACATTTCCTCTCCTCTGCTCTCTTGTTTCAGGTTTCTAATATACATCGGCAAACATGTCGAGCTGTAACGAGCTCGGTCTAAATTACCCCCGGGATCAGGCTAAATCCGGAGAAGCACGGCTATGTCTAATTCATGGATTACAATGTTTACTATGGAGATTTGGTTTTAATGAACCTCTATCTTGTTAAGCAATAGAATTGTAGACTTATTAAGTTTTAGTCGGTAATGAACTGACTGAACAGGAACTTTTTTTAATTAACAGTATCTGCTGGGATCTGGCTAATTCCTGGTCCGGCGTGGCTCAAAGTTGTTTATTAAGTAGATTTGATTTTAATGAATATAAATCCAGTCAAACAAAAGTTTCACTGCGATTTAAATTAGTTATGGACAGTAGAAATCAGGATTTCGATTTTACAGTGTCTGCTGGGATCGGGCTACTTCTTGGCAGGTAGGTGGACTTGTTCAATAATATACTTTAAATTAGTCTGAAATTAAGAATACACATAGAAGGCTTCTCAATACTCTATTTTCCCCTCCTCGACTCCTCGGTCCTCCGGTAGTGACCCGGAAATGGATTTCAGCGTGCCATGTTGAAGGACATCTAATTTCTCTAAATGCACATCGAGGACCGAGCATCGAGGAGGCTCTCTGGAGGAGCTATAACCGAGGATATACTGATGAGTCCTCCACGGCTCCTCCGCGGATTCATTTCCGGGAACGGTAGAGGCGTGACGCACGGCCGGACTTATCTCAGCCAATAACAGCTCTGCATGCATCCCCTGGATATTATTTTAGTAACTGCTTTCATCGCGACGCAATATTTACAGTGAGAACAGCTGTGAGGTCCGTGCAGAAAGCAGAGCAGTGTGTAAAATATATATCACTCAGTATAACAGGCCTACATTACTCTCTGTATTTGTATGCTTTAGTTTCTACAAACAAAGAGTCGATATTTTTCTAAGACCATTTAGTGCTTCACATAATAAAATACACAATGGCTGTATCCTGATATATAGCCTATTATATGCTTTAGGAGCTGTAGGTGTGTGTGTGTGGTACAGTGTGTAGGTGTGTGTGGTACAGTGTGTAGGTGTGTGTGGTACAGTGTGTAGGTGTGCGTGTTGTACAGTGTGTAGGTGTGTGTGGTACAGTGTGTAGGTGTGTGTGGTACAGTGTGTAGGTGTGCGTGTTGTACAGTGCGTAGGTGTGTGTGGTACAGTGTGTAGGTGTGTGTGTGGTACAGTGTGTAGGTGCGTGTTGTACAGTGTGTGTGTGTGGTACAGTGTGTAGGTGTGTGTGGTACAGTGTGTAGGTGTGTGTGTGGTACAGTGTGTAGGTGTGTGTGGTACAGTGCGTAGATGCGGCCGACCGACGGGTCTCAGTTGGTTTGGTGTGCTTACTTTTAATACTTGTAAATAAAACTTTTGGCCCGTAATTTCAATTCCACATTTCAGCGACCAGAGAGAGGGGGGGATATATCCAGTCTCTGATTGTGTTACGTTATTATGAGAGTGCTCTCATACTTGTTTGATTCTGATTATATAAATATGTGTGTGTCCGCATCTGTAGCCTGTTATTGTCTCATTATACTGTGAATGAATTAAAGTAAATATATAAGTCGTCATGAACACATCTGTCCATCAGACAGAGTGCTGCTGTGCCTCCTGTCATCATTAACGGACGTCTCTTTAAAATGACCGCTCAGAGGAGAGGAGTTCTCATTTCTCTAACCGCCTGCTGCTTCCCCTCCTCTCTCCTCGGTTCCCCTCCTCGACTCCTCCGCTCGCATCTCCTGTGGGCGGGACTAAGACACGAGGATAGGAGTCAAGGAGGGGAAATTAGAGAATTGAGAAGCCTTCATGGAAAAAAAATTAACAGTATCTTCTGGGATCTGGCTAATTCTTGGTCCGGTGTGGCTCATGTTGTTTATCAAGATTTTATTTTGATGCGATATAACAGTTTTTATGAACATTTGAATAGAACATTTCCATATTTTACTGGGTCAGTTGGGATCGGGTTGCTTCTTCGCAGGTGGGTGGACTTTCAAGAAATAGGTCTTGTTGAATAATATACTTTAAATTAATCTGAAATTAAGAATACACATTGAAAATTTTAAAAATGGTCGGTAATGAACTGACTGAAAGGACTTTCTTTATTAAATGTACAGTATCTGTTGAGATCTGGCTAATTATTGGTCTGATGTGGCTCCAAGTTGTTTATGAAGTAGATTTGATTTTAATGAATGTAAATCCAGTCAAACAAAAGTTTATTGCGATATTACTTTACAGGAAATAGGTTGAATAATATACTTTAAATTAGTCTGACTTTAAGAATACACAAAGAAAATGTTAAAATAGTTTTTAATGAACAGGAACTCCAGTATCTGCTGGAATCTGGCTAATTCTTGGTCCAGTGGGGCTCAAGTTGTTTATCAAGATTAGATTTTCTTGCGATATTAGACTTTTTATGAACATTAAAATGCAAGATTTAGATGTTACAGAGTCTGTTGGATCATGCTACTTCTTGGAAGATGAGTTGACTTGCATGAAATGGATTTTGTTGAACTGAATATGCTAAGACATTTTTAAAGTACTATTCTGTGTTTCAGAAACTTCGGCCTGCCCATATGTTGAGGGTTTTTAAGGTAGTCTGAAGACGTTTTTCCAGTAGTAAAAGTACATCTGAATTTCCAAATTTAAAACCACATGTTTATTCGGCTCTTGTGTTTTTTTACAGCCGGACACACTGCCTAATTGAACCCGATGTATTCCTCAAATTCATTTCCCTTTTTCACCTTTTTATGTGTCTCTGCTTTATATTGTCCTGTTTGTGAGTCCATGCTAAGTCATTGTGTTTGAATTAGATCAGCCATTCTCCCTGTGACACAGTACTGGTCTGGGTAGTCTAATGTATTTTACATAAAAACAAGTATATTGTGGAGCTCTCTCGTACTCACTGAACACACACCATTAGCATTAGAGAGTGTCTGCTTCTCACTTCTAATGGGCCATTGGTGTGTCATTGTCCCGCTCAGGCCTGGCATTAAGATGCGTCTCTGCATGCATCTCCAGAGACTACTTGTGTTCAGATCCACGCTCCATATGCAAATAAACACACTACACTACATTTGTGTATGCAGAGAATGCTGAGAGTTGTTTCTAACCAGTGGAGACAGCAATGCAAATCAAAAGCGTGCAACTGTGAGGTTTGTCGTGATACAGCCGCTGGAATATTGTTAGCAAGACAATGGGTGGAAAATAATAATCAGTCCAGTGTCGGAAAGGTTTCTGAGAGCCTGGCAGTATAAGAAGAAAGTCTGGAAACTCGTCATGTTGTGAATTATATTGATCATGTGCTTTTCAGACTGGATGCTAGAGAATCTCTTTGCTTTAGGGTCTTGTAGCCTTGGGGTTTAAGTAGATGGAAATGTATACTGGCTGAATAAATGCAAATTGGCCCTTCAATAGTGTTTTTATTTGTCAGACAGTTTATAGATTTGTTATCTTCACAGTCATCTGTCTTACTCTGTAATGCTTGTTTATTTATATTTCTTTTTAGATGTTTATATGTTAGAATGGTTTCTTTCTACTCTTTTAATTTGTTATTATTTGCAATGCCTTGTTTTGTTTTATGCTGCTGCAACAATTTGTTTTCGCAAATTGGGATTAATAAAGTACTTCTTATCTTATCTTAACCACCAAGGCAACAGTTAAGTGAAAAGTCCAGTGCCAAACAAGCAATACCTGGCAGACCTGAACGACACAGCAAGACTTCTTTTTGGTGCATAAGCCTGGATGGATGGATGGATGGATGGATGGATGGATGGGATGGATGGATGGATGGATGGATGGATGGATGGATGGATGGATGGATGGATGGATGGATGGATGGATGGATGGATGGATGGATGGATGATGGATAGATGGATGGATGGATGGATGGATAGAGGGATGGATGGATAGAGGGATGGATGGATAGAGGGATAGATGGATAGATGGATGGATGGATGGAT